GGATTACAGGTGTGAGCCACCGCGCCTGGCCTTTTATATGTCTTTTTTAAAAAAGGAATGGCATTTGGTCAACGCTCACTTCGGACATCCGATGGATTCTATTTGACTTAACTTTTATTTCTCCCTCTAAAGTAGGAACGAACACATACTTGCAGAGCAAAAATAAGTATACTTTTATCCTATAAGCAATTACAAAGCAATAAATGAAAATATAAAGTAAACAGGACCAATATTTTAAATTGTAGTTTATAACTCTTTCACTGAATTCTTAATTAATCAGTATGCATGAATGTTCTACATCAAATATCCGATATTTGAAGATACATTTGGGTACATTTGGTTAGGCTAAATAAGAAATAGGAATCCTGACAAGTCTGCCCTTAGGATCTTCTCTCAATTCAATAATAGAAACCCATATACGAGCTTAGAAATTATAGACGGTAAGACAAAGTGTAAATGTAGTGGACTTTTTGTAGACATAACATAGGGGTGCCACTTTCTGACACCTGCAGCATGAAATTCTATACAGTAATCCCCAGGGGTTTAAAGTCATGTTGGTTTGCAAACCTAAAATCTGAGTTACTAAAATTGGTTTTCGGAAACACAGTTAAGACCACATTCTATTCTTTGTTTTAAACCCAGCTGCCATTCGTTTCTGGGTCAAAAATGAACACACATAATCAAGTTGTAAGGAAGAAAGTATGTTTGTTTTTCAAACGCATAGTTAACAAATGCCCCCTGATTTTTGCTAATTTACCTGTGTTAGTTATAGTGAGGTACCAGAGGGAGACTTATAGAATCCACTAGAAGCCTAGAGAAGCAGAATCACCTGGCTATTTCCCAAGACAATATGGGTGAAGACCTTGCCGACACTCAGGGTAAATTAAAGTTACGATTTAAAATCTAGTAACTGTTTCCTAGGTGTTGGCCACAATCCTAATCCCAAACATATTACAGAAATTATTTAATCTTTTCAACAGTACCATGTAGTAGTATACCATTAACATTCCCCTTTTACCCATAAGGAAACCAGCGGAGTTGGTGAAGCAGTACTATAAGCAGAAGGTAAAGTCCAACAAAATTCAGTATGGCAGGAAGGCACCATCTAGGAGGTGAAAGGAACTGGCAGGAGGACAGAAATCTCAGCCCAGGAATGTTACCCACCCTGGATTATTAAGGTTAATGCCACCTGTGCTGGCTCAGAACTCAAGATGTTGAAAGCATAAGGAAGAAATTCAGTATTTCAAGTACTCTAGGCCTCTAAGCTTTTCGTCTTCCTATTGGCCAGAGAAGCTTTGTATCGAGAGAGCAACGGACATGCAGTTTAACAATTTCGCTCACTTCTATTACTTCTAATTTTGAAAGAAATCATTTGGTGTAGAAGTTAGAAATTGGAACTTCTAAGTTAAGGGGGAAAAAAGCAGTTAAAAAAAAATTACAGCAACAGGAAATCCACTCTGGAAATTGTTTAAACCTAAAGCAAAGCTACCCTGAAAGAGCATTTCTCCACATTTAGGACATTCACTAGCCATTAAGTAGCCCAGCAGGAAAACTCAAACCAATGCTGAATGCACTGACCTAAGCTCCCTGTGTTTATACATTAACCAAACACTGAAGCTGATCTCTTCGTTATGATGTCTCAAAGGAAAGCAAATTCGGGAGCTGTCCTTTAAAATCTCAAGAAAATCCTATGTCACGAGTGCCAAAACTATAGACTTATATCTTGAAATTGGCATAGAAAACCAGCAGCAGAGAGGAATTTTACTGAATTTAATCTTGTAAATACTGGACAAGAATTATTTCAAGAAGACTTTGGACATTGGGTCATAGTAGGCCTGGAAGATGCCGATATAGATCCCACCTCCACAGCACGCCCACCCTGAATCCTTGGGCAAGTTTTTAACTGCATTGTCCCACCATTTCCTGTAAAATAAAAAATGTCAATCTCATAGGAATTTAACCTGAAGCACCAGTACAACGTTTGACATTTCATGGGCCTGCAATAAATGTTAGATCCTTTACCCATCACTTAATTTTACAATTCTTTGCTTATAAACTCAAGCAAAACAGTAGAACACAGGTTCCACATGTATAAGTTCTAGAAACAGGCATCAGAAGCACTGAATTAAAAGAAAATTTTAAAAATAAAAAACCTCTAGGCTGGCACA